GTGTATGTTTTTCTCATAATCTGTTTTGTTTTGTTTAGTATTTTGTGCTTGAGTAATATTTGCAATTTCTTTTCTACAGTAGTAGGATAGTAACAGCAGCAGGAAACCTGTTTAGCTCAGCTGGAACGTTTTGGCCTCTAGAGGGCTTTTTTTTGTTTTTTGTTTTTTTTGGTTATTACAGTCAGAGTATGAAATAACTGCCTGCTTATCTTTATGATACTTTGATTCTCTTTTCCTCCTCATCCCCACTTCTTGTTCAGTATTGTTCTATAGGTTAGATTTGAGACAGATGCTAGGAACAGTAAATCCAAGTGGATTGTAACAGATATTATCTGACATTGGCATGTCTGTAACTGGGAAGATGAAAACAATAGGCAGTAAATGTTTTGGACAAGCTGAAAGGAATTGCTAAAATAATTCACAATTGTCTTGTCTGTTAGACTGGATAAACAAAACAAAGATGATTTCCTTTTATGCACGTTTTTCAGGAGCCTTGGGAATTGCTGTACTGTGGGATGTGCTGCTGTATTGAGCTGTATTCCTGCCAAGCACTTGCTTTGTGTTTTACACTCTTGCTTTTAGCCATACAATCCTTCTGTTTGGAGTGTGGTGCTGTGGCTRAGTCCTGGACCGAGACCTGTGCTTGGATTTCACCTCTGTAGCTGGTCTGTATTAGAACACATGGAGAATGTGTTTGTAACATGAAATAATAAACATGCTTAGCCCTTCTTTCATAACTCTATGTTCCATAGATACAGGATATCTGATGAGCATGTTTTACCCTTATGGGGAGAAAGGCAGAGCTGTTAAATATGTGACTAGGCAGTCTGGAACAAAGTCATCACTTCAGCATCCGTAGAAGGTCGTACCCTTGTCAGCCAGCATTGGTTCAGCATAAGGTCCCAGCTAGGATTGTYTGCACTTTGCCTGGAGCTGTTCTTTAGTAGACCTTCACCCTTTACTGTGTTGGGAACTGCTAATATGGTTGGTCTTTTGAATATTTATAAGCAACTTATTAAGATGGTCCTTACTGCAGTTGTTCACAAATATACTCGTTTTCAGTAAGTGCTCTGGCAGAAAGAAGTTTGTTCAAGCTCATGACAGACCAATAGATTAAGTGCCCTTTTCCCATTATTTTTTTTCTCCCTCTTCTTAATAGTGTTAAGCCATGTTACTTATTTGGCAAATTAAAAATACAACTCCGTTTTTATTGCTGTTCTACTTTGAGTATTGGCTTGGTTCCTGAGATATTCAGACCATTTGGGACCGTGAGCTTGGCAGAATAAACCTTTCTAACAAGGTTATAAAGGAAGCCTGCAAGGCTTGTTCCCTTGTGTGGCTGCTTCACTTCCCTAGTGTTCTGCAGCTGAGCTGAGCAAAAGGGGATCCAAGGCTACATGGCATCACATCCCTTGTAGCTTTAAGAATGTGTGAGCTCAAAAGGTTAGTGGTAAGTTTCAACACCATTTTTTTTCTCATCAAGAATTGTGTTTGTCTGTTGTTCTTACAGTGTACGTTTCCATACACTTGAATTTTTCCTCGTAGGAGCCAGACTGAATAGTAATTGATAACAATCAGGTAGCAATTACCAGTATGTGGAACATACTTCATTGAAGCTACATTGCTTGAAAAGGCCAAGAAACAAATGTTTATCAACAACATAGATAAATATAAATTTTGAAAAATACAACCTTAACGTGAAAGATTCGTATCTGACTGTATCATAGATCTGTGTTAGAGACTTGCACAATAGAAGTAAAATGCTTCAGTTGCCTTTCCAAGTTCCACATGGTCCTGTCATGAGGGAGACCTATGTGTATTCAGATGGTCTAGATGGCTCTTTATTCTATTAATGATGGAGATACTTGTCTTTAAGGGTCCTGTATGGTTCCAATTTAGAAATAAAGGCCAAGTATATTGTTCTCAAAACCAGCATTTTTGATGTTAGACTTGAATCTCAGTCTGAGCATATATATATAAAATATATGTAAAATACAGAAAGGTCACCCTGTGGTGAGTAAAGGGCAGCAGCTCTCTCTTGCCATCAGTGGACTCTTGGATGTGACAAAAATGACAACCTTGTGGAGTCCTGGGCAGTAATATTACAGAAGCAGCTTGACAGTAATACTGTGATTTCACCAGATCCATGTGACACTAAAAATATGTCAAAGAAATCAATGAAAACATTAAATCCTTGAAAAGGTCCAGCATTAATAAAGATTTCCTTATTTTCAACAGATACTGTTCCTGCTCAAGAGTTTATGGAAGCATAATAAAAATACTGAATTTAAGATTGTGCCTAAAATTCCATTCTGTTTTTTATCATTATATTGAAAATACAAATTGCGAAGCTTGTCCTTCATCTTCTTCAATGATATTTTCTATACTTTTTTCAGATTTTTTTAATATGAGAATTTAAGAACTTCACTTAAGAATGGAAGTTTTTAAAGTGTCATACAGAATTGTTATACTGCTTAAAATGGCCCTTCTAAAATTATTTTTAACATTTTGTGCCATGTTTTAAGACCTAGCAAAGTTATTGATTTCTTTTTTCTCTCTAATATTCCCTCTGATGCCTGTTTAATATTGTCTCTGGTTATTATCACCATTTGCAGTTCTTTTGGTTAAAATAAATGAATTTTTAAAAATGTTTAATAGAGCTCAGCAGGTGAAGTCTGAATTACTGAAAGCTTTGCCTGAGGTTGGATTTGTACTGATTCTTCGCATTTCTTCTGACAATGCCATCTCCCTTAGTGCTGCTTCTGGAACAACATGACCCTTTTAATGAAATTTCATTTTGTAACTAACTGAATTTTCATGTATGTGGCTTTACTTGCTAGTACGTTTTGTGATGGCGTTTCTCCTTTGTTCTGCAGTACTTAAAAGCATTTTACTTATCAGAGCTGGAGATAAATAAAGCATCCTGTTTACTAATTAGATAAATTTTCATCAACTGCCATCCTGAAGGCATTGGAATGGCTATATTAAGATGCAGTGTTGTTTTATGGTTTGTAAATTATGAAATGAGAAAGGAAATTTACCATGGAGGGGAAAGGCACATGCTGGAAATATTCGACTATTATAAGATAGTAAAACACTGACTGGCTTACAAGAATGGAAGGAAAAAATAAAGTAATTTTTTTACACACTTTTTTTAAGTTTCTTTACAAAAGCAGTCTGCAGATACCTTTGTATTTTCTAGGGAAAAATCAGCTTCTAGGATATAATAAGCTGTTTCTCCCATCCTCTCTTCTCTTCATTCTCTGAGCGTTAGTCATTTGTTGCTGATATTCATGGGTTTGTGAGCAGTCTTTGAGCTGGAGGAAAAAAACAACCCCAACAAAAAAAGGAGTTAGTTGTGATATTGATTGCATAAATTGCTACCCGTGGGGGACATGCTGTATGTAGGCATGGTTGTCCTATATCTACAATCTAGCCACTAATAGAAGACTGATGGCCAACAGTGCTGTAGCATTGTTGTTGTATAGCTACTGTTGGGTATATATACATTGGCTATATATATATATATGTTTATGTTGTCCCAAATTTAATGGTAGTCAAGAATTTGTTGATAACCATAATATAGAATTCTTGACTATCATTAAATGGTAGCACTGTGCAAGCAACTCTTAATTTTTGAAAATCTGTTACAGAATTCAGGAATTGAAAGCGATTTTATATTTGAGGTCAAATGATTTATCCTGTTTTCTCTTGTAATGCAAATACTGCTAACTCAGCAGTATTCCAGGTTAGATGAGGATGTGCTTCTAATGAGCAGAATATACATGGAATCAGACATCTTTGTAGTTTGGAAACAAAGAYAAGTAGCATAGTTGAAAAAAATATATGATTTTTAGCTTTTTTTCCCTCCTTTTTAAAAGAAAGGTTGATCAAGACTTTGCAAAGACAGTATTCATGCTTTTTGTAAACAAATGCTCTGTATTATTATTTTGCCTGTCTTGCAAGAAAAAGCAAATAAGACATATAATATCTTGACCTGAAACACTATCAGTTTCTCTAATTTCTGTGTGTCTCTTTTCTAAGAAAAATAGTCTAATTACACTGAACTGTAGTTTAATCTCATTTACGTTAATGGCAAAATTAGTGTGTTTCTTAAAGTGTTATATTTAATTACATATTTGTGATTGAAGAAATACGTGGTGTTTATGGGTATCTTTCCTGTAGCATATTGTTATTGCAGTGCTCATCGGTTGTGAAGATAATGTGACTATTTGGCAGTGTTTTCTTTATGGTGTGTTCAGTAATTTTGTTTCAGAAGGAATAATTTATCCTCTTTCCTAAGGTAAATAGCCCCTAAATGGGTATGTTAGTAAATGGGTAATTAATATAATTGAAGTAYGTACTTCCCTACTTTATTATTTTGTTCGCAAAGACAGAGAATGTTCATATGCTGCATGTGCCTTTTTCTTAAAAATTTTATTTTATTTAAAATTTTATTTTTATTTAAAAAATTTTATGCACAAAATCATTTTGTGGTTAATAGAGGGCTGCTCTTATACACTACGTAGTGGTTGGTTCTGGCTCTTAAGAATCATTGTCTTGCTTCTCTTGTGACACTGCTACATGTATGTGCCAGCAAGTGTTAACTTACTGAAATAAAGCATATGGTCCAGAATAAATTTAAGAAAAGAGATAACAAGAAGAAACATCTTAATTATTTTATGCCTTGCTAGTATAGGAAAGAATTTATTCTTTTCATCCAGAGACTTCAGTAGAAGCATGTGCGCACACTAGGAGTATTCCAACTAAACAAGAAATCTCTGCAGTGAACTTTTGTGTCCAAAAGCAATAACTCAGGAGACAAGACTTTCACTGGCCTCCAGTTTTGTACAAAGGGTAGGACTGCAGCTTTGCAAGTGTTTGTGCAAAGAAACTCGACATAGAAATGTTCTATTATTCCAGTCAATAAGCTCTTAGTTCCATACTAACAAAAGTTTCTTTTCAGAGGTTGATCCGTCTCTCTTGTTTTTCAGGAATATCCATATGTTTGAGTTCTGCTTTATGAACAAGGGAAGAGGGCTAACAACTTGCCTGAACAGGTGGTAAGTAAGGTCAAAACTTCACTGCATGCAATTTTTTTAATTACCTATATATTTTCATGGCTGTGAAATCTAGAAAGCAAAATAGTTAGCACTTTATTCCTTCTTGCCCTTTTATGCTGTTCCTTAGCCAGCGATGAAGAGGTGGAATACAGATTCCAGCAGCTATTCTGCTTTTTAGTATCTAAACAATATATAAGAGATGAAAGAGTTCTTAGGAGAATTTTCCCCATAACAGTTATCCTCAGATGACATTTGTATTATTTAGAACACAGGGAATAGGAATAACATGACAGAAACAAGAAAGAGTTTTCTCTTACCCAACAACCTCAGTACATGTTCAAAATTAGGAATAAGTAGCTGCCTCCATAGCCATTGCAGCTAAATTGGAGATGGTGTGTGGATACACCAACGTCCTGTTAGTATTCTGTGGTGTATTTGGGAACTAAGGGAATCTACAACTTGGAAAATGTTCTTCCTTCTTCTGTGCTGAAAGACGGGTAGTAATTGTGGGATCATTACCAGTGTTATTTCTATATAACTTCTGACTAAGACTGATTTTGGTATTTTTTTGGGAGCGAGGTACACTCTATACTTGCTTTGAAGAATATGTCACCTTTAATCAGAAGAGGCATTTATTTTCAGAATGATGGTGCTTTCAATTTATTGCCTGTCAGCCCCTGGTGTATGTTGCATAGTTTCATTACTCTTGCCTCATTGGTTGCTCCCTTATAAAATAATTTTAGTGTTATTTTTATTGGCTRTCGGTTGGTGGCTCATAATGATAAAGTGAAATTACATTTTTCTCAAACCATGGACATCTTGGTGGAAAAATCTGAGAAGCTGAAGCCATTTGAACCTGCTCTTACTCCCACTGAGGTCACTAATAGAATTTCTGTGGCTTTCAGTGGGAGTAATGTCGGATTGTATAAAATGTGAAGGCTTTTTCCCTGTTTTCAAAACCTCCTGTAATAGTCTGCTCTAGCTAGACCTACATGGAAACCTAACTAGCTTTGTATTTGGTTATGAAAAAAAGTTTCCTGAGTAGGAGAAAAGTTTTAACCACTTCTGTTATGCCAACATGTTGAATTTTTCCTTACATACAGCTTCAAGAATCATTGCCCTGTAAAGACTGGCTATCTAAAATTATTTTGCTTGCAGATCAATGTATTTTACTGTATTGCATGCAAAGACTGGTCTGGATGTGCCCAGTGCCACCTTATCTSTGTGTCACATCACTTACAAGCTAAGTAGGGCGACTTGCTCTGTGTATTGTATGCCTGAGGATATACCACTACATGCTTAGCTTGGTCATTCAGGCCTCCTGAACTTGCTCATGAGATTAAATTTTGCCTTCAGTATCATCCACGCAACTGTAGCCCTTTTGATGATGTTGAGTTGTTTTTTAAAAAGGGATATTTGATGCTTGGGTACAATATGCAAGCATTTAGTTTCATGTATTTGTGTCAGTCTCATTTGGAATCACTTTAAAATGTTTAAATAAAAATGGTTACATGTTTGAAAGCCTGGAGGATTTGCCTTGGTGATGTTTATGGCCTGACACAGTCTGCTCGTCATTAAGGCAGTCCAGTCAGCTGRAAAGTCCAAGGCCTGGGCTGCAAAGCTCTCTGTCCAAGTGGCAAGGATTCAAGTGTGCCTCCTGCTGCAGTTGTGTGTGCAGGGCTGAGCGCATTAATGCTGCAAACAAACATGTAACTTCTGGTACTTAACAAGGTCAAAATGAGAGTTTTGCTCCTGATTGACCAAAATAGAGATTCAATGAAGCTGAACTATACTGCAAATAATAGTCTACWGGATTATTTCAGCACTCAGAAAGACAGAAGCTGTATCTAACTATATAAAGTTAATTTTTACACCTAATATTTAAACTGAGCTAAAGTGACTTTCAGTACCTAAAGTAGTTCTCATTTCTGCCATTTGCTGGTGTTTTATAGGAAGTAACTGTTRAGGATATAATTTTGTGTCTGCCTAAAGATCATAGTGATCATAAGTTCATTACTCATTTTCAGTGAAAGAATTACTGTTCTACCATAAAATCTTTSACAAGTTTATGAAGCAAAAGACAGCTCAAAATATAAATATTACTGAGCATATTACCTTGTATGTCTGTCAATATTGTTATGAGACTGTCACTTCCCTTACAAAGTATTAATGATCAGGATTTAACAAGCATATATAGAAGTTAATGTTTCTTTCCTGCCATTTTACAAATGGAATAAGAAAATTAACTGAAGTCTGTACTATAATTTGAACTAATTCTGTGAATGAAATCTGTTTCCTGACTGCCAAGCCCTTCTGCTCAATACAGTGCCACTTTCCTATCATTTGTTTTATTACTACCACTTGTTTTAGTTATAATTTTTAATATCTTTCTAGTATTGTAAAATGAAGGGAAAAAAGTTATCCAGCCTTATTTCTAGACAACTCTCCAAATTAGTATTTTTAGCTTCCTTAATAAGAGAATAAGACTTTTGTATACTCAAGCTCTATGAAATCAACTGGCTTAAAGTTACAGGAAGATTTCTTTATGTATTTGGACAGGCTTATAAGAATAGGAACATGCAATTTTAGCTTGTCCATAAGATCTTTGCTGGTATATTCCCTGAAGCCATATTGAATTTCCTCATGTGGATTCAATTGGGATATGGAGAGTTTAGCGTTTAGTCTGTGCTTCCATAGGGAGAGTCAGGGTGAGCCTTCTTAGTATTCATTTGGTGCTCCTGGAGATATCGTTGGCAATAGGAGTAATATTGGCATGGTCTATTAAAACTACAGTGAATAAAACTTTAAGACCCAATCTCTTGATTTACATTTCTTACAGCAACATATAATAGAATCTAGAAGGCATAAAAGTTGGGTGAATTTGCTCCTTTTATTTACTTCCATTAAAGCCCTTTCCAAGCAGATAAAGGAAAATTGCACGATGAAAAGTATTGGACGATAAATATAAAACGTTATCCTAGAAATGCCTTGGTTGAAAAATACTTGTTCCCTTTGTGTCCCTCTTACAGCTGTATTTTCAATTAATTTTATGTGGCAAAAACTGATATGGATGTAATGCAAGTGCAGYCGTTTTGCAACTGCTACACCAATGCATGATGACTATTTTTAATTGTTTTTTTTTCCTTCAAGTTTTAAATAAACATTGTGGTAAGGGACAGGAAATTTTATTTGCCATTGCTGTGCTGTAATTCCAGTATTATCCTCCTGTTGTAAATACTTCCAAAACATTACTTGGAAAAAACTTCATATTTTAAACATTTAAGTGTTGTTTTCTTCTCCTCATCCCTGCCTTAAAGGGATATATTGTTTTGGAATTGGTGCAGAGCAGTGATGACAAAACTCACTTGCCAACTTAGCAGTGGGAACCTGTTGATCATCCAWGAGGAGTCTGCTAGAGTGTTTTCCCTTGTGTGACTTAAATCATCTTCCTGTTAAAAAGTTGCTTGTTGTATCAGTATCTTGATATTACTATGTAAGTGTGTTTGTATGAGTGTGTGTGTGTGTATATATATGTTATATATATGTATAGGTATTTTTGGAGCCTATTTTCAACTTTAATCATCAGCTTCACTTTTTAGACGTAAAACTGWTTTTTCCCGCTATCTGGAGGTCACGTTGGAAGCACCATGGAGAAGACTCATTGTCCCATGRGGGTTCTGGCAGGGATTGTGTTTCCCTGACACAGTGCCTGGAGGAACAAAGGGCGAGAAGGCCTGGAACGCCTGGAGGCTGGAAGCAGGGCSCGCCTCCTTCCCGCCCCGGCCAAAATTCCAGTAATTGTTGAAACTTCAGCATCGCCCACATCAGTAGAAAGGGAAACTTTCTCGCAGCTGTTATGTACCACTGCAAAGATGGCCTTTACACACTTCTGTTTGGGGATGTGAGGGCATCATTTATCATCATCACTATTATTATTGTTTATCATTTTATAATGATCATCTTCTTCCATTGAATTTATCTTCAGTAGGTTCCTCCATCTGATTAAATTGTAGCCCATAGTATGGTAGTTTCTTACTTTCCCAAAGTGTTTCTCTTACATTATCTGTAAAGGATCAGAATTGATACCTGACTGAGCTGCAAGACAGAGGATTGAGTTCAAATTTCTGTGAAGAATCAGCACTCTGTTTTTSAGTATTTCTACTCTGATTGACATATGTGAAAATATTTGTTATTTTTTCGTTTTTCCGTCAAGCTTTATTTTATATACATATATATGTACGTTATATATATAAAGTTATTTTGCTACAAAGGTGTAATAATACTTTATTAGTTGATGAAGATAAGGATTTGACTTCCTCTGAGGGCATTTGGGGTTGGCTTGATAGCTGCCCATGGATCTCTGGATGTTTATAGGACAGCAAAACAAGGCTAGATGGTTTCTAACATAGGTTAATGCAGTAATATAGCTTTCAGGAAGTATGTTTTTTCACAAAGYTGATTTTGGAAATGGATGTTTGAAAACAGCTTTGTCACACATGCAGTCAAGGTCACAGATAGCAGAGAAAGCAGTGACTTAAACATTTCAACTAARATTTTATGAAAAGAGCCCAATGTGAGCTTTTACACACTAGTAAACTAGTCTCTTAATGCCTCCTGAACAGTATAGGTGGTTCAGACAGTGCTTCCTGTTCCATGAAACATCTTAACTTGCTTTGCTGTTTGGGACCCAGGTGTTGAACTTGCATGGAGTGTACTTGATAAACCAGTGAGCGCGAATCATGAATCAGAAGTGTTCAAAGTGGTATTGGATGAAAGCCTCGAGTGTGAGGTCTGGAAAAACCTCCAAGTGAAGTTGGGAATGCTGTTGCTGTGGTTGAATGCTGTTGATCTAATAGAGATTAGAGTTTAATCCTTCCTCTCTATTTACAGACAAATGCTTTTTTTCCTGACATGCCTGCGGTGCTTTGGAAAGGGTCAGTCTCAGCTGTGGAATTGACTTCATTATGCTGTGGTATCATCAGTGAGAAGGGTTGATTTCC